AGACTCTGCCCAACACACCCCTGGGTGGCCCCTCACCCCAGAGGCAGCAGTGGCAGCTTGGGGGACAGGAGGGGAGGAGGGTGAGGGAGGGGCAGCAGAACCAAGGTGAGTATTTCAACCGGGCTAGACCCCTCTCCCCATTCCTACTCTAGAAGCTTAGAGAGCCAGCCAGCAATGGAACCTTCCGGTTCCGGCGCCAATTGCCACCAATATCAATTTTGTGAGCTTGTGTGTGAGTGCATGTGTGCGTGAGTATGTAGGGCATATATAGATCTCTATCTCTTAGCAAAGGTGAATACCAGGTGTAAACTGTGCCTGTGGGCAAATGAGGCTTGTATTTTGCACATTTTATAAAAACTTGAGAGAGATTTCTGCTTGTATATTTCTAAAGAGAAAACAGCCCTGAGGTCCCTCTCCTTGCCGCTCCTGTCCCTTTCGGCCCTACCTTACTCCTCTGACCCCAGCCAAGGAGTGTGAATTTATAGATCTAATTTTCATAGGTAAAACAAGAGCTTCGAGCTGTCGAGTGTGCGAGTCTGTCGTGTGGGTATGCATGTGTAGTCCCCGGCCCCAGACAGGTGGAAAAGTACACGGTAGGGGCCTTGAGGGGTGTCCCCACACTGCCTCTCTGCCCACAGGTGTTGGGGTGAGTAGATGCGGTGTTCTGTCCCAGGGCTGCTCACCTGGCGTGCTCAGGCTTGCCCATCCCCTGCCCCCTGGGGGGGTCTGAGGGGGGCACCAGCCAGGAAAGGGATCCAGCTTGGCTCCCACCTGCGAGCTTAAGGCTGATGCGCTGTCCACGTCTCAAGTCTTCTGTGTAGCAGCTTCCCTTAACCCCCCTTGGCGTCACATCCAATCCCGAGACAGCCGCAGAGTGGACCTAGAAAGCCTTCCCCACACCCTGACATCAGCTGGAGGGGTGGGGCTGGGCGAGGGGGTGGGGGCAACGGGGACATTCTTACTGTGCTAAAAGCCACTGCAAACATAGCAATAAAAACATGTCATTTTCCAAAGCTGGTTCCTGCTCCACCTCTGCTTGTTTTGAGGGGGGAGGAGTACGGGCCTGGAGGTTTCGGGGGAGGCCTCCCCACCTCGAGCTGCTTCCTTGAGCAAGTATTTGTTCTAAGAGCCTCAGCACCCCACACCGTTCGGGAACTGGGAATAACAGCAGGGAAGGAAGCCGGCAGAGTCTTTTCCCCCTGGGGAGAGTTTAACAGTTTGGGAAAGAGGAACATGCCGAGCAGGGCAGGTGGGCACAAGGTTGTGGAAGGTGAGTGGGAAGTCACGAGTGCAGAGAGATTTTCCAAAGGTTGCCCAAATGCCACAGCGAACAGATGATTTTCCAAGATAGAGGCAGCGAGAGGTAGGTGAGGTGAGAGCTGGGGAGGTGTGGGGAGGCTGTGGCAGAGCCCGGGGAAGGTGGGGTTCACCGAGACCAGGACGCTAGCAGAGCAGGAGAGAAGTCTTTGGATTAGAGACCAGCTTGCCAGGTGGAGCCAACAGGGCTTTGAGGTGGCTGTGATTCAGAGCTGGGACGAGTTGGGGAGGCTCCAAGAAATTGAGCCTCCGCACCTCAAAGGGTGGCATTACCAGGCCATGCCAGAGAGACAAGGAAAAGGTTTGGAGGGGATGGCGGTGTCGTCTGAGTGGAGATCTCCAGCCGGCAGCTGGACGAGGAGTCTGGACTGGAAAAAGCTTAGAAAGTCCTCAGCACATGACAATGGCCCCGAAATCCTCGCAGCTGGACAAGATCAGCAAGGGCGGCCCGTGGGTGTAGAGGAAGAAGTGGCCCAAGCACTGAGCCCTGGGGCCCTGGGACGCCCAGAGGCGGCAGAGAAGGGGAACAGGCAGTGGAGATAGGAGGGGCAGCCAGCGGGGTAGAAGGGACCCCAAGGTGCCAAACTGGTCCTGGAATGTGAGGAACCACTCCCCCTGCTCTGGGGGGTCGGGGTGATCGGCTCTGTCAGGTGCTGCTGCTGGTTAAGGGAAGGCCCCCATCCCTGAGAACTTTGGCTGGGTCTGGCAACAAGATCATGGAGACCTGGACAAGAGAGGTTTGGCAGGCGAGGGTGGGGGTGTGCAAAAGCCTGACTGGAGTGGGATTAAGGGGTGGAAGCAACCCAAATTTCCACCCACAGAAACGGAGGGACACGACATCTGGCCTATCCATACAGTGGAATATTATGCAGCCTTATAAAGGAAATTGTGACACACCCTACAACATAGATGAAACTTAATGACGTGAGGCTGAGTCAAAGCAGCCAGACACAAAGACACTGTTATGATTCCATTCTATGAGGTCCCTAGGGGAGTCAGATTCATAGCGACTGAGAATAAAATGGTTGGTTGCCAGGGGCTAGGGGAGGAGGATGGGGTAAGTGCTGAATGGGGACAGACTTTCGATTTTGCAATCCGGGGATGGACAGTGGTGATGGATGCATAACGATGTGAATGTTCTTGATGTCACTGAACTATAACCTTAAAAATGGTTAAAACGGAAGTTTTAGGTTACATGGTTTTTACGACTTAAAGAAGGGGTGGGGGAAGAACTGGAGACAATGAGTCCATTCATGTCCTTGTGGGCAGGACCTCAAGCATAAGAGGCTTCAGCCTTAGGTGACAGCATGGTGCTCCATGCAGTCACAGGAAAGTGGGCAGGGTCAGGCGTGGGTGCAGGGCATGGCCAGAGCCAGCCCAGCCACCAGCTGTGGGAAGCCTGTGGGAGGCAAGGTCCGGGAGCCTGGTACTCACTCTGGATGCCAGCCTGGGCAGATGGGAGGGGGTGGCAAGGCATAGTCCCCCTAGTGAGGAAGGGCTCTAGCCCTCTACTACACAGCCAGCGGCAGGCTCTGGCTTGTGGTTGCTATCCTACCCCGATGGTCATCAAGAACCTGGACAGAGGACAGTTCCCCAGAGCTTGGGAAGGCCTTTAGAGCCTGTGCTGGCATGCAAGGAAGCGCCTCCCCAGGCTCCCCAGCAAGCTAGGTCCCTGGAGG